TATCGCCTTAGTACATCATTTAAATTATCTTCATTCTTATCACATGTATATTGATCAAGCAATTTCTAGTGCCACTTAATGCCTTTTTTCCATAATATAAATACTACTGTACAGCCTGAAAATGAAGTCGTTGAAAAGACATTTCTTCGCTGAACAAAGAACCCTGTTTTTCCTCATAAAGAGGATAGTAACGAAAATGATGTGTTGTCATAATCACAATTGTTAATGTTAATCAATACACAAGAAGAGTTGGACAAGGGTGATAAAGGACGTAATAAGATACATATAATCTGATGAGTTGTAATCAGGATGAACGGAGAAACAAAGGTGAATGTGACATCACGTGAGTTCTAAGAAAGTTAAGAAGTCATAACGGGTGAGACGACGAATAGAAATATAGTTGATGTAGGACAACAAGGTCCTTAGCTGGCTGGAGAGTAATCCTTTTTTGTATGCAGAGTCCCAGCTTCTCTATCCTCGAAATGATCAATTTTATTTATTTATTTCAACGCAGAAGAAAACTTGGTATAATATGGCACCAAGAAAGATGCGCCACACAATAATAATAAAACAACACAGATCAAAAGTAAAAAATATAAGTAGAGAACGGACAAAGAACTTCATCTGGAAGGAAAACAGTCATACTTAACAAGTTCAAACAGTATTCGTTAACTATCACCGGGAAGGGAAGAAGCGAGGAAATTGCGACACGTTCGCCATTGATTACGATTCTTGGCCATATCCGATAACGTTTCGAGCCAACTCGCAGACCCCAACCAGGGAGTCGTGACACACCAATCGACGCTAATCCTGCCCAAAAATCCTTCATCCCACGACGCCACGTCATGGACTGACCACCCCTCCGTCTTTTCCATCCCGTCCTAGGACTAGCGAACCGCGACCTGTACGGAAGCCTCTGGGATGACATTCACAGCACATGTCTAAGCCACCGGAGCCGATGTTCCCGGATGACGACACTCAATGAATGGTGATCTACACTGTGTTCAAACACACGCCGCCGAATCTCAGAATTACTCACGCGACGATGCCATCGAACACAAGCAACCCTGCGGAGACAGCGATGATCGAACACGCAGAGTCGCCGAACATCCTCAGCCTACTCGGAGAGGCCAGGTTTCATAGACGTAGGGCAAGACAGCCCACACCGAAGGGTTGGATACCCGACCTTTGACAGCCAGGCTAACGACGTGACGGCGCCAGAGGTGGCTCAAGTTGATGTATGCCACCCTAGTCTTCATTATACGGTTGGAAATCTCAACCGTCAACCCTCCACCAGCACTCACACAACTACCCAGATACACAAACTTATCAACAACTTCAAGCGGTTCACCAGCAAGAGTCAGTGCAGGTACAGGCTCCTGCTCATCATAGATGTGTTAATGGACTTAACCCTAAGTGACTTTAGCGACTCAGGGATTGACTTGCTACCTGGGAATAATCTCGTTGACTTGGAATATGCAGACGATATAGTCCTTCTAGGCGAAGACTGACAAAATGCAGAGTCTTCTGAACACTTTGAGCTGTAATCTACGAATGTTTGGCATGCGATTCGCTCCCGCCAAATCCAAGATGATATTACAGGACTGGACTACATCGACGCCTAGTTTAAAAATAGGAAGTGAAGTGGTAGAGCACGTTGACCGCTTCACTTGTTTCGGGAGTACCACCAGCCAATGCCAACGGGTTGATCTCTGACGAAATCTCAGCACGAATACAGGTGGCTCGTTTCGCATTTGCCAGTTTACGCTGACTCTGGCGTAGACGAGATGTTCGACTATCGACCAAAGGGCGGGTGTACTGCTCATCAGTCCGCTCCGTCCTCCTTTATAGCCAGCTGTGAGACCTGGCCACTCAAAGTGGAAGACATGAAAAGACTAGCTGTCTTTGATCATAGGTGCCTGCGCTCTATTTCCCGTATAAAGTGGCATAATAAGGTGAGCAACATGGAGGTTAGGCGTAGAGTTCTAGGTAAACAGGGGAAATCAATCGACGAAGTCGTGAAGTTACAAAGACTGAGATGGTTAGGACATGTGTTACGTATGCCAAGCCATCGCCTCCCTCGACGAGCAATGTTAGCTGACATAGGACTGGTCAGGCTGGAAAAAAGCTAGCGGCGGTCAAACAAAAACTTGGCCTCACCAGTCAATGAAATCCACAACAGTTGGTCTAAGCCACGTAGGAAGGTGTAGACTTCCTGACTGGCTGGGGTCGTCGGGACGGTAAAAATCTATGGTTGGAAACAATTGGTGACATGGCTCAAAATCGTTCTCAGTGGCGCAGGTGTATCCACTCCTTGTGATTTATGATTTCCAATGAAACTGTTTTGTTCTTCGTTATTACTCCTCCTTTGTCTCACACCTCTACTCACTGTTTCTATTATGCTTTTCTTGTACTTTCTTCTCTTGCTTCGCGTGCTACACGGAGTGTGGCGACTTGAACTTCCGCACATTTGTGCAAAGTTCTATGTCGAAAACAGACAGACAGACAGGCTCCTGCCAATCTTGTAACAATACTTTGCGCTTAGATGGCGCAAAGCACGTACCATACTTACAGACACTGATTGCCAACTGACTAAGTGCGATTTTGGTAACCTGCATGCTATCGCACAGTGTTGGTTGGGAACAGTGATGATAGTTGGTTGCATGCCCTCACTCTACCTGAGGTGTATCAATGGTGATTCATGAAGCATTTTAGACAGCTTTACTATCCGTCTATGTAACGTATTCCGTCTAGGGTCAAATGAAACTGATCATAGACTATATGGAATGATTCTTAAATTAAGGAATGATGAATAAAGTTCTTTTTTCTAAATCCTAAATTTAAATACTTCAGATATCTCACATATTGCCCACATATAATCAAGTGATTTTTGATAACTTGGCCAAAGAGTTTGCAAAATGCGTCACAAGTATTTTTTTATTTTTGATTACAGCTTGATTCCACACTGTATTTTTGGTACAAGTATGGAATTTTCAGCATGGATATCGGTAGCCCAAATTTCGCAGGCCGACCATAGATATCAGGTGTGCGTCGGCAGGGGATCGAACTTCGGACCATGTGCGTAGTCGGCGAAAATCGTAACCACTGTGCCACCGACGCACAAATTCACTAATTTCCAAGTAATCGTGTCTTGTGATTCAAGTAGTTAGGAGTGACAGCAGAACATCATAGTATTTAGTGGTAGAATAGTTTATTCGGCAAAATGATGTACAATAAATGGCGAAATACGAAAATCTCCCATTGAAACTTCAATTTGCAAAACTATGCTTCTTTTGTCTTCATTTCTCCTTTAGAAACTCGATACGTCGATCCACTGTTCTCGATTCTTGCAGTAGATGTCACACATACATATACTACTCACAAATTCTTGTCAGTAGCACAGGCACAAAAATAGTATGAAGAAGACAATAAGAACAAATTTTGAAAATTACACCTTATTCTAGCTCCATTCTCTTCTGTTAGATATAGACTATTAACAGAGAGTTCATATGAATTGAAAATATCTACAGACCATTAGTAAGCAGTAAAAGAAGACACTATGTTAAACTTAATAAAATAGTTAGTAAAAGATTGGTAAGTTTAGATTTTCGCCACGTGTAATTAAAAAATTTATTCAAACTACAACCGCAGAAGAAGTTAAAACAAACACACTTAACTCATTCTAGAATCTAATCCTATCTGAACTGTAGTAATTGGGTGTTAACTAACTACTCTGAAGTAATAAGTTATACAAAACGGATGGCACGATCCCCATTAAGGCCAATATAGTCACTGTCTTAGTTGGTTAAATAGAGTGTAACGATAGTTATTTCTTTTTTTTGGATTACAGCTTCAATCCACACTGTATTTTTGGTACAAGTATGGAATTTTCAGCGTGGATACCGGTAGCCCACATTTTGCAGGCCGACCATAGATATCAGGTGGGCGTCGGCAGGGGATCGAAGCTCGGACCATGTGCATGGTGGGCGACATGTGCCACCGACGCTGTCTAGTCCTTAAGGCATCATCCCAGTCCACTCTGGTTGGACGCAACGCAGTTGGAGGCGATCGGGAGAAATCCTTGGACCCCATCAATATAGAATACCTACAATCTCGAGGGTACTAATGTCTTCCTTGAGACTCAGACCCATGAAAACTAGTGTTGCAGTTAGAGACATTAGCACTGAGCTATTTAAGTCAAAATTGTGGTAAGCGGTAGTTTTGACTACATTATTAACCAAAAAACTTTAGGTCATCCTAAAACAATTTTATACACACAAGTACATCGTTTTACTTAATGACTATGTTGTAAAATTATTTTGTCGGATCAAACGTAGACGAAACACGTACAGAAAACTAACAAGTTTACAATACTTCTTCAAATTGTGTCAATGTATATTCAGAAGTACTCTGAATTCGATAAATTCCACTCAAAATCTCCAGATTGACAGTAACCTAGTGCTCTTTTTCAATCAGTTTTCAGTTCGATTTCTTGAGGTTAAAATGAAAAGGAGTGGTTGGTGAGATCAATCAATTCTAGTGTGAGGACAATAGCTTATTGTAATGGATGACAGCCAATCAAAATTTATAAATTGTTTGCCGTAGAAGAACATTCTGATTTCTCCTTATAATCTACAAATTAAATAAACCAATGAGAACATCCCGAACCTATCTGTCAACTTATGGATACAAAAAACTCCAAGTGATTGACAAGAAGAGTATTGACGGAAACAGTTTAATCCAATTTTTGATAAATCCTCAAAAGAGTCCTTATGCGTCCTTGTGCGTCGGTGGCACAGTGGTTAGGACTCTCGCCGACCATGCACATGGTCCGGGATTCGAGCCCACGCCGACGCACACCTTGATATCTATGGTCGGCCTGCGAAATTTGGGCTACCGATATCCGTGCTGAAAATTCCATACTTGTATAAAAAATACGGTGTGGAATCAAGCTGTAATCAAAAATTAAAAAAAATAAAAAAAATTATTCCAATTTTGGCGCTAAAAATATTTTGGAGTAACTGTTTTTTCTCTGACAAACTGAAACGGTAGAAGGCAAAAGACTTTGTGAGTGAACGTTTATTTGAAAATTGGTATCTCTGTGTAGCCAAATTATGTGCACCTTATCTTCAACGCACCATTTGCACAGATCTTCGTGTTGTGCTACTTACCCCTGGCCTTCGTATTCCTTTCATATATCCCATATATCTCCACGACGCTGTATCACTTGCCTTCTCTGACATCAAATCTGTCTACTTGCTGTTTGATGTTTTTTGCGCCGATGAACATCTCTTGATATACTACTAATAAGTCTTATCAGTAGTACTCACCACAAAACACGTTTTCTTTCCTATCTGACTACAACGGCTAGATAATCCTTTCACAATTCGATTTTCAGTGAGTAAGTCACAACCTCCAAATTCGCTTCGCTAACCGAGATGTTGAAAACCAGGTTAATATCATAAACACTTCTTCTTAGTACACATATCTCCATAAGGGCTTCCAAAATTCACTTTATACTCTTGCTGGTATATACATTTAAATGTATGTATCAGGGAAGAGGAATCACTTCATCGATAACGCGAACAAATAAAACTCCCATCTATTATAACACACCGAAAAGAGACAAGAAAGAACGAAATTGAAATATTCAACTCCAATTCATCTAACTACGCTTGAATGCAGTCTTTATATATTTCTTTGGAAAACTGATGTATGCACTTTAATGTAAAACACACACGCACACATACACACATAAAACGGAGGAGTAAGTAAACAAAAGGTAAAGAGGAAACTAAAACATACTTTAATAACATTTTAAATCTCTTTAGGATGAAATGTCGTCTTTTTGTTCAAAAGAACCAAACTACCATGTAACAATATCATCAAATTATATTACACTGAGGCAGTAACCCCCTCCCCTCATTTCCTCTTCAAAATAAACTATTACACACACACACACACACATTGGATAACAGGCACAGTATGATAAAAAAAGAGTGAGTTGCAAAAATTTCATTTTGTCTTCAATGTTGTCATATCTGTTTTCCAATAGAAAAATCTATTCACACATTATATATATATATATATATATATGATAATAATGTACAGTGACGGTTGTATGTAGCCGATGATAAAACACTCACCCATCTACACACACACACATACACACACATTACCATCATTTATATGAATCGAATTAAAAGCGTTGAATTGAGAAGACTGCCATCTTCTAGTGTTTGATTATCTTCAGTTAACTCACGACTTGGATAAGACGTCATCAATGAGAATGTTTTATAGGCCAACTCTGGTCTTTCACTATAGAGAAAAAGAGAGAGATAACAAAAGACAGAAACACAGAAGGGTAATAAATAATTAAAACACGTTCGTAACAACATGTGGAATGAGCACTTCGTCAATACTATAAACAACTAAAGCAATTCAGATACTGAACTATTTCCTTTAATTCCTAGAGGAACATAGGGTTTCAGCTGCACGTCTTCATCGCGTTCAAGTCTCTGCCAAAGTTTTCACCTGGCTCCAGGTCTGCCCACATGCTTTTATCTCCTCTTCACATCACCTCCTCCTCTGTGTCACCCTCTCACTGGCAACCAATTCGCCGCTTCCCTTTCGGGTTCCACTCGAGCGATGGCTTGTCTAGTGATGTCAATTGATGGTTTACTCACAGTATAACCAATCCACCTCCATTTCTTCCTGCTTACTTGTTGCACAATCGGTTCCTGGTTGGTTCGTTCATTGCCAGAGATCCCTGTTGCTGATCCTTTCTGGCCGGCCATCTGATCTTGAGTATTGAGCGAAGACAACTGTTAATGAAGGTCTGTAGTTTGTTCGGAATGCCCTTCGCGACGCACCAAGTCTCTGATCCGTATAGTAGCAGTGACTCCACACCGGAGTTGAAAATCCGGATGTTATTTTTCATGCTGAGTGCTGTTGATCCCAACACAGACTTGAGAGAAATGAAAGCTTGTCTTGCTTTTCCGATTCTTGCTTTGATATCCTCGTCAGTTCCGCCTGTAGTTGAAACGATGCTCCCCAGGTAAATAAAGGAGGTTGTTTCTTTCAGGTTCCTCTCATTTATGCTGGCTGATTGTTGTCTGTTGTTGTTGCTGTTGGCCAGGAATCTTCATCACCTCCGTTTTCTCTGTGTTAACGTGAAGGAAGTCCTATCTTCTCTGGAAGCTTATTCTACCAACTTGTTCCTTTTCACTTGCGTATCTTCCAGTTTGTGGGAAATCAGACATATATCATAAACCAAATCCAGATCCTCCAAATTGTGTGCATGTCCATTTTATGCCTGCTTCCTCGCTGCCCGCTGACTGTCTGTCCCATTATTCAGTCTACCGCAATCAGGAAAATCATTGTAGATAGTAGGTAGCCAGCTTGTCTTACTCCCCTCCTCACTTCGGAGGATTCAGTAAGTTCCCCGTTGTCGATTAATTGGCATGCAGCATTATCGTACAACTGTTGGATGAGACGTATAATTGTCGATGGCACCCGTAGTAGCGAAGTAGTTGCCAAATGACCTCTCGATCGACTCTGTCGAAGGCTTTTTCAAAGTCAATGAAGTTGAGATAGAGAGGTGACTGCCACTCCAAGCTCTGTTCAATGATGATCAGTAGAGTGGCGATTTGATCTTAGGTTAGTCAAAGACAACTACACACTCACTTATCTAGTTATTTGGAGTAAGAATAATTTCTAGTAGGATTTGATTGCCTGCGATTGCCTTCACGAAATTGGCACAGGTTCATTTCCCAGCCAATGCATTCTTAAACATCGCTTAGGTTTAGTAAGGCTGGTTAAAAAAAATGAAGGTTGGGAGTGAGGGCAGAAAAGTCACCCCGTGAAACAAACACAACCACTACTCAAAATTCAAAGCTCAAACTTGAAACTACCCCATGTTCTACTCGGAAAGGATATGATCAGAAACACTGACTGATTGTCACTCAGTGGTACCTACTGTAACTTTACTTAGGTAATAAGCATTATGCAATACAATGACAAAGCATTGCAGTTATAACTGTTTTTCCTATTCTATTTTTCTTTTTAAATAGGTATAATCTCATGGTCTTGTTTTCTTACTTCTTCAGGATTCATATCAATTCTTGCATTTTCCGGTTAATTTACTTTAATTTTTTGCTTGGTTGTTTTTTTTAAGTACTTTCAATATATGACCTAACACTCGCAAAGAGATGGTATTTCATCTGTTTTTTTTTGTTGTAAAAGATTCCATTTATTGAAAGATAAAGAACTTTTGAATTTTACTATAACACTCTACGACATATAGTGAGTGACTGACTGGTTGCAATGAAGAAATTTGCACAGATGTGCAGCAGTTCGAGTTGCCACACTCCCTCCATGTAGTACACAAAGCAAGTGAAGACAGTAGAGAGAAAGATTCGAAAGAGATATAATAGACAGAAATGTGAGGCAAAAAGAATAGTACTATGGAAGAACACTAGAATTTCATTGGATACTACAAATCACTAAGACTGGATGCATCTGCGCCAGCCATTGAGAACGATTTTGAGTCATATTACCAATTGTCTCCAGCCTCCATTGGTTCTTACTAACCCGAGGAACCCAACCAGGAAATCGACATATCAAAGAAACTATTGTTGACTCTATAGTAGTGACAAAATGTATTTATTGCGCGATCGTAGATATTACCATACAAAATGTACTTTACTATCTTATGATTACACGCGTTATTCGGAGAAATAACAAACATTATTATTTTTTTCAAAAACAATTGGGCAATTTGTAAAAGCATCATGTCAACAGTTTCTTTTGATAGGCCAATATATTTGTTTAAGTGCATCATATATTTATGGAGGTGGTAAAAGATATAAATCCTGAGAAAGGGGTACACTACTAGGCTAAAAAAAAATAAAAAGGCGTGGATGTAAACAGTTATTATACCATCCTAATATATCCAGCAACAAATTGAACACTGATAAAGTCTAACAGAAGGATAATAAGATCAGGCTCATATCAGCACACTGAGAAAAATACAAATAAAATCAAAGACAATAAAAACAACGACTTTAAGCAGTTGTATGTGAAAACATAAGACAAAGATAAATAAAAACTGATAATAAAATTTTGTATATTTGCAAGTAATTGTAAGCGGATCGGTATCACTGCAGAGAGTTTTGAACCACATCAGTGTGTCTGTGATCTTTGAATTTTAATATAAACCAGGAAAGCAAAGTGTCAGACACAAGTCAGACTAACAGTCACAGACTACACAAAGTGTAGTATGTTCTACTGACAAGACTTATAAGTAGTATACAGATGCAGATATAAATATGTATATTATCGGTAAGAATATCGGATAACGGAGAGACGAATTTAATGATCGATGTTTGTGAAACAACATGGAAAACATGAAAGGAAGACAAAGAAACACAGTATCAAAGACAAATTTTGCCCATATATCTGTAAATCGAATTGCTAACAAATAAGCACCAATCACCATCAAAGGGAGAGAGATTTAACAGAGGTTACTTCCTTCACTTATCTGGCCAGGAAGCACGGTTTCAACTATAGGTGGATGAAGATCTCAAAGCGAGCCAGAATCGGAAGGTCAAGATATGCCTTCATCAACCTGAAATCAGTTGGGAAATCTTCTGCACTAATTCAGCCAGCCAGCATAAAGAACAAGATTTGGATTCTATTCAACACAAATGTGAAGTCAGCCAATCAGTTCTTCAATACAGGTCGGAAACTTGCACTGTGTGTTATGAAAAGGATTTCCAACAAGTCACTGCAAACTTTTATCAACAACTGCCTTCGCCGACTCCATACTGAAGGATTAGTGACAAGAAACTCTGCACTGGAACAAACCACCCGAAAGCCGAAGCCTCAACAAATATGTAGGCGAAGATGGAGATGGATTGGGCATACACTGAGGAGGTCATCGAAAGACATCGCGCGCAATGCAGGCCATCGCTCGAGTGGAATCTAAATAGGGAGCCACGAGTGGGTCGTCAGTGTAAGGGTGACATGGAGGAGGAGGAGGTGAGGGATTATGGGCAATCGTGGACCCAGATGAAGAGGACAGCAGGAAGTAGAAGAAAGTGGAGATGTGTTGTTGAAGCCGTATGTTCCACTCGGAACCCAAGGGAATAATAATTAATATATACATACAATAATTCCATTACTGTCTGTCTGTCTGTCTGGATTCAACATAGAACTTGGCACCGAAGTGCAGCAGTTCGAGTTGCCACGTTCCAAATAGCACACAGAGGTAGACAAGAAGATGAGTGAAGAGAATTAATAGAGTTTGACAAATATAAGAGTGAAACAGAATGGGTAATGGTAGAAAGGAATATGAAAGATTACAGAGATTGAATACATCTGCGCCATTGACAACGATTTTGAGCCATGTCACCTATTGTCTCCAGCCATTGATTCCTAGAGTCCCGAGGGCCCCAACCCGGGAGTCTGCATCTCCCTACCTGACTCAGTTTAACTGTCAAGGATTTCATGGATTGATGCCATGTTTTTGTTTGGCCACCACTGGCTCTTTTCCAACCTGAACCTATATCAGCTAACAATGCCCGTCGGGGGAGGCGGTGGTTAGGCATGCGCACCACGTGACCTAGCCATCTTAGTCTATGTAACTTTATAACCTCGTCGATTGATTTTCCCTCTTTGCCCAACACTCTACGCCTAACGTCAACATTACTTACCTTATTAAACCACCTAACGTGAGACAGAGATCGCAGACATCTATGATCGAAAGCAGTCAACCTTTTCATGTCTTCAACGCGTATTGGCCATGTTTCAGAGCCATAGAGAAGGACGGAGCGAACTGATGAGCAGTACACACGTCCCTTGGTTGATAACCGGATGTCACGCCTACGCCAGAGATGGTGTAAGTCAGCGAAAGCAGCTCGAGCTTTTCGGATCCGTGCTGAGATTTCATCGCCAATCAGTCCGTTGGTGCTAATACAACTTCCCAAGTAGGTGAAGTGGTCAACATGTTCTATCACTTCACTCCCTATCACTAAGTTAGGGGTTGACGTCGTCCAGTCCTGTAGCAGCATCTTACATTTTGCAGGGGCGAATCGCATGCCAAACATACGAAGATTGCTGCTCAAGGTGTTCAGAAGACTCTGCATTTTGTCAGCATCCTCCCCTAACAGGACTATGTCATCTGCATATTCTAAGTCCATTAGATTATTCCCTGGTAACAAGTCGATTCCTAAGTCACTACGTTCAGTTAAGGATACTTCCATTAGCATATCTATGATGAAGTTAAACAGAAATGGGGAAAGTGGACATCCCTGTCG